CCTCGCCACTGTGCTTCCCACCCTAACCTCTGCACTGTGCATCACACCCTGACCTCTGTACTGTGCGTCACACCCTGACCTCCCTACTCTGCCTTACAACTGACCTCTGCAGCTTGGAAATAAACATTTTAAAATTGGTTCAGCTGCGTTAGGTCATGCACAGCAGCCTTCTGTGGAAACACCCGGCACCTGCTTACAGCGCTTTTGCCGCCCGCACATCTCCCCCTCCTGAGACCCTCTGTACAAGACATCAGGCTGGCATTCCAGAGCAAAGAGGCAGAACAGAGTATGTACCAAATTCATATACTATTATTATGCATTGCTTTATAATGTATTGCTGGGATTTGTAGTCCTCTTCAGATTATGTCATTCTGCATTAGAGTGTAAGCTTCTCTGTACAGAGACTGCTGTGACTGGTTCAGTGTTCTCTGTACAGTACTATGGTATATGTCAGAGCTATATGAATGTAAAATAATAGTGTGTGACTATGGGTGGACAATAGAGTATAAGCTCCTTTAGTGCAGAGAGAGCTGGGGGGAGGTTAGGGGGCCATTGAAGGAAGGGGGGGCCCTGAGAAAAAATCTTGCACCAGGGCCCTTTGTTCCTTAGGTCTGCCACTGCTCATGCACACAGCCGTGAAAAACCCAGTGCAAAGCGTTTTATGTTTACGGATCGGAATGCAGGTATGTTTTCAATGAAGTCATGCGCACAGGTTTGTAAACATTGGCTGCACTCAGATCCTTAACAAAAAAAAAATCAGAAAATCTGCCTCTGAGGACATAAATTGTACGCATGTAAACACATATTTACGTGTAGATCTAAGTGTGTAAATGAAGTCCAAATAAGAGAATTACATTAAAACAGAGCAGGAGTAATGCAACCTTTACACTTTTAAATGCATACTTGTGTACGTGTCAAATCACATCTAAACGCAGGCATTTTACTGATTATTATATTGGAACTATTTGCCCCAAAAAAGGCTTGCGTGTACAGTATAATCAATACATTTTTTTGAGGCTGTGTGCATGTAACCTAATACAATACTGGATCATGCATGTCTAAATTGTAGTTTACCTGAATGTGTCTTAAAATGTCCTATTCATGTCTTGTGCATAAACCACCTCCAATCATGACAGCAGTGGAGTCCCTTAGGGACACTAGCAGGTCTATTTAATATTATTACAGGTAAGGCAGCAGATTCACTAGTTGCTGACAGCAAAGCTTTCCTCTCCTGCCTGACAAATGCACCATGTTATGTGTGAAGCAGCATCTGTCAACCTCCCCTGGATTATCCTACACCTTCACGGGTCAATACTGATAGAAGCCTCTACAGCTAGCCAGTGACCTATACTGATCATCTCTGACATTAGCTGTAGTAGTGCTCGCCATCGCCATAACCAACAAAATACCTCTGCACTGTGCGTCACACCCTGACCTCTGCACTGTGCGTCACACCCTGACTTCTGCACTGTGCGTCACACCCTAACCTCTGCACTGTGCATCACACCCTGACCTCTGTACTGTGCGTCACACCCTGACCTCCCTACTCTGCCTTACAACTGACCTCTGCAGCTTGGAAATAAACATTTTAAAATTGGTTCAGCTGCGTTAGGTCATGCACAGCAGCCTTCTGTGGAAACACCCGGCACCTGCTTACAGCGCTTTTGCCGCCCGCACATCTCCCCCTCCTGAGACCCTCTACTACTCTGCCTTACAACTGACCTCTGCAGCTTGGAAATAAACATTTTAAAATTGGTTCAGCTGCGTTAGGTCATGCACAGCAGCCTTCTGTGGAAACACCCGGCACCTGCTTACAGCGCTTTTGCCGCCCGCACATCTCCCCCTCCTGAGACCCTCTGTACAAGACATCAGGCTGGCATTCCAGAGCAAAGAGGCAGAACAGAGTATGTACCAAATTCATATACTATTATTATGCATTGCTTTATAATGTATTGCTGGGATTTGTAGTCCTCTTCAGATTATGTCATTCTGCATTAGAGTGTAAGCTTCTCTGTACAGAGACTGCTGTGACTGGTTCAGTGTTCTCTGTACAGTACTATGGTATATGTCAGAGCTATATGAATGTAAAATAATAGTGTGTGACTATGGGTGGACAATAGAGTATAAGCTCCTTTAGTGCAGAGAGAGCTGGGGGGAGGTTAGGGGGCCATTGAAGGAAGGGGGGGCCCTGAGAAAAAATCTTGCACCAGGGCCCTTTGTTCCTTAGGTCTGCCACTGCTCATGCACACAGCCGTGAAAAACCCAGTGCAAAGCGTTTTATGTTTACGGATCGGAATGCAGGTATGTTTTCAATGAAGTCATGCGCACAGGTTTGTAAACATTGGCTGCACTCAGATCCTTAACAAAAAAAAAATCAGAAAATCTGCCTCTGAGGACATAAATTGTACGCATGTAAACACATATTTACGTGTAGATCTAAGTGTGTAAATGAAGTCCAAATAAGAGAATTACATTAAAACAGAGCAGGAGTAATGCAACCTTTACACTTTTAAATGCATACTTGTGTACGTGTCAAATCACATCTAAACGCAGGCATTTTACTGATTATTATATTGGAACTATTTGCCCCAAAAAAGGCTTGCGTGTACAGTATAATCAATACATTTTTTTGAGGCTGTGTGCATGTAACCTAATACAATACTGGATCATGCATGTCTAAATTGTAGTTTACCTGAATGTGTCTTAAAATGTCCTATTCATGTCTTGTGCATAAACCACCTCCAATCATGACAGCAGTGGAGTCCCTTAGGGACACTAGCAGGTCTATTTAATATTATTACAGGTAAGGCAGCAGATTCACTAGTTGCTGACAGCAAAGCTTTCCTCTCCTGCCTGACAAATGCACCATGTTATGTGTGAAGCAGCATCTGTCAACCTCCCCTGGATTATCCTACACCTTCACGGGTCAATACTGATAGAAGCCTCTACAGCTAGCCAGTGACCTATACTGATCATCTCTGACATTAGCTGTAGTAGTGCTCGCCATCGCCATAACCAACAAAATGCTCATTCTAAGAGACAGCAAGACCTTCTGTCTACTTGTCGCTTTGATCATCTGCCTACAGGACCATTTTCATGTGCAGGCTCAGGAGTGCAGATTGATAGGCAAGTTTGATCTACACGGATTTGTAGAATCTACAAACCATGAACTGATCATCGGAGGACTGTTCCCCTTTCATTTCAGGACCATACTGACCAATGACACTGATATGGAGGAGCCCCAGTCTCCAAAGTGTGAAGGGTGAGTCCAATTTTCCTGATATTGATGCAAGAAGAAATGTGAACGTTATATAGATAACACTGAATGAGTTGGTCAATAAATGGCACCAATTTAACTCTAGCCTCTGTGTTGTCTAATATGGCACAGCACTCTGGCAGTGCTTCTGGGTATGTAATTGTTGAACCTGAAAACTAAGTTATCTTCAATGACTGTAGAATTAGAGTATCATAAGTCACCACATCTTAGCCAGCTTTTGTTTATTGCTTATGTACCAGTAGACTTATTTTGTAAAGGTGTACATAGAGCAGAGATCACATATACTATAAATTATTTTAGCAACCAATCAGATTTTAGTGTTCTGTGGTCTGATCAGTGCAGCTGTTTTTTTTACATCAGATGTAATCATGCGTTTCAGTAATATATAATTTATCTTGTTATACACAGTCTGCTACTGTAACAAAAGATTAGTTAAGCAGTTACATTTGTAATGTTACTATAATATTTATTACCAATTAATGTGTAACTACATAAAGGGAAAACTGTAAGGCCCCTTTCACACGGGTGGTCCAATCAGGTCCGATCTTAAGTGCAATGTTAGTCTATGGGCAGGTGGATGTAAAAAGGATGTGTGTCCATTTACATCCGATTACCACTGACTCTGTCTATATGTCACATTGGCATTCTGTTCCATCTGGTTTTCTGGTCCTGGATGGGCACATGTACCCAGTGACCTAACATGGGTCCAGTTAATTCAGTTTTTTCCTTCATCGCAAGATGGAGGAAAAAACTGATCGCATATGAATGCCACAAAAGTGACATCTAATCCGTACTGCTTCGATAAATAGGGGATCTCTGCATGGATCCCCTGCTGATCGGAACCGACAGCGCCCGCGTAAAAGGGGCCTTAGTGCTATGGGACCCAGTGTCAAAGAGGGCAATGTACTGTGTCTGTATAATAATATCTTGGTTACAATAACATTTGGCTTATACTTTGAGATAGAAATAATAAGTCTGTTGCTCAGTCAATACATTGCTATAAAAGTAATATACTGAAGTGTTTATTTGTTGTGTGGAAAGGCAGAGTTCTTTGTATTATGACTTTGGAAGAGAGGTGACATGAAATGAGCCTGTGCCTTCATCTAATCTCGTGCAGAGAAGTTCTTGTTTTTCTAACAACACAGTCGAGTACTGTTTGTGATGGTTTCTTTTTGTTTGCACTAACAGTTACATTTTCAGGATAAACTTTCGGGGTGTATCCCCCTCGTCTTAGGTCCAAGCAGTACTGATTGGACCCTAGATGAGGGGGATACACCCTAATAGTTTGTCCTGAAAATATAACTGTCAGTGCAAATATAAAAAAGCATCATGGACAGTACTCAACTGTATTGCTGCAAGTGCAATACTATGGCTATATATTTTTTTTAGGAACCCCAATCAGATCCTTGAAGTAAACACAGGCTTACTTCATTCCCTTAATCTCAATTTTAGTAAATCCTTTACTAATCAGGTCCTTTACGATGATTTTGCTATAGCACACTAATATGTTTAGTTATGTCATGGACTGCCATTTTACATTATAATTAAAGATTGGACCGGTTTTACATACGATATACAGTACTCTAAAAACACGACCTACTGTATATTGCAAGGATATTTACAACGTGTCAAACTGGATATTTTAATTTCCCATATGAAAATATTTAAACAGGAAGTGCTGAGCCATTGGGGACTCTTGTGATTAGTCTTTCCTGAGAGGTTGCAAAAGGAAGTCAAAGTTAAAGTGACTGAAAATAATATACCACGTTGAGCTTTGAGATGTTGAAATATAAATTAAGTGTACATTTTCTGAACCCTTGCAGTGGGTCTACCCTCGCACTGCAAGGGTTTAGTGCTTGTTTTTTTGCCTAGGTTCAAAAATTACAAAGTTATAGTCACGCAATCATTAGAGCTGGCTTGCTCTTAGACCGGTCCCTGGAGCCTCTCCCCCTCTCCACTGCAGTGATCTAAGGACCACGAGTTATCATGTTCCATACACAGGACATGCAGACACCGAGGGACATACCAATGCTGCAGTGGAGGAAGAGATAGGCAGGAGGAAGCGCTGTCCCAGCTGGCCAGCTCCAAGATTCAGGTGAGTATAACTTTTTTATTTGTAATATTATATTACACATATACTAGCTAAGCTAAAAGACTGATTGACTGCAATGAAGACTCCATACCAAACCTCCCAAACGACTATTCTATAATATTGTACTAGCACCATTAGAATGCATTCTGAGCATCCACAGTAACCAATCAGAAATTCGTTTTTAATACTCTTTTAAACTGCAAAAAGCTAATATTGATTGGTTGCAGTGGGCTACTGCACATCATAATTATTTGCACTGTTTAATAAATGAAGCCGCATATGTCCATTTACAAAATCTAATGTAAAATGTTATTGTTTGTTATGAGTGCACCTTACTGAAATGTAAAGATCACCAATTTCCAATAAATATAGGGTAAAAAGCTATTATTTGATTTGATTTCAATGACATTGATATACAGCGTTAAGACAGTTGTGATATTCAGTTGAGATTTATGCCTGCTTGCTGCAATTTATAATTAAGTAGTACAACCCTCAATTACAGCGAGATGAGCTGCTTCCCCCATCCTTGTTTATAAGAATCCCTCTGTATCCTCCCAGAATAACAGCTCGGCTTGAACTACATCCACTGAGTTTTAATAAAACAATCAAAATGTAATCTATACACATACTTTATTTTTGTTACATTGCAGAAGTTATAATGCATTGGTGTTACAGTGGTTTTGTGCTCCAGGTTAAAGCAACTATGCACTGTGTTGCAATTTAGAAAAGAAACAGTGATAATAGGCTTAAAGCTGGATTCTGGGCAATAAACATAAATTGAAATATATTCCTCAACAGTTGCAAATGATATAAATCCACTTTATGAGCCTTTGCCTTTGCACGCCCAGTTATTGCATAAGTAGGAGTGACAGCATTACAGGGCTATACATAGCCTGAGCAGAGCTATGGGAAGGACTCAGAAGGTCCCCCTACTACAGGCTGCCTGCAGAGAACTACAGGTGGGGGCAGATACAAGACCAGTCACCCTGCACAATTATAGAGAATAGCAGTGACTGATCTTTATTACAGGAAGCTTCTGCACAGAGGGAAGGATTTACACTGGCCTTGGCTTCTCCATTGCCTTGGGGATTCTAAGGCTAGCGCTACACTATAGATAAAATTTAAGAAGGTCACAACTTACTTATTAATTCCTATGGTTTCCTTTTAACCAGGTTCCAGGATCACATGAATAAGTATACCATATAAAGAAAAGTGTATATAGTGTGATGCTGGAGTAAGGAGGAGAACCTATTTTGAACCTGGTTAAAAGGAGGCCTTAGGAATGTAATCAGAAAACAAACTCTGACCTTCTTAGCAATATGAGGTCAGTTAAACCGAGTGAGTGAATTCCTGGAGAGGAGACACAATGGTGATTGGCACAGAGGTGAATGAAAGAAGGGGAATATGAAGTGATGAATACACATATATGAATATTAAAGGAAAGAGATAGGAGAGCACTGGGCACATTGTGGTGTTGTGTCTGGCATCATGCCTCAATGTATATGTATAGCGCCACCCCCTAAGAAGCCACCTAGCATAGTCCTTCTGCCATCCCACAGTGGTATTGGAATCTAAATTCACTGACACAACTGTAATGTAAAATGAGCTTTATTGATGATAAAACGAAAAACCCTGTAAGGAAAAGTTTGATAAAAGCAGTATAACAATAACAAGACAATCAAGGCCAACTAGCAACGGTCTAAGAAAATGGTACAATATTATCCAGGCATAATTGGCAACTGTAAGACCTATTTATGGTTCTAAAGCTCTGACTTAGCCACTAGCCAGTGGAGGGTTAAAAGCCCAGTCTGCTGGCATTCAGGTCTGTAAATCCTGTTGGAGCATTTTTCTTTAACAGAGTATTTATAATCCTGGGGAGTGGTCCAAAGGTCCTAAGCTGTCCAAAGAAGAACACAGATGGCCTCTCACAACTGATGCTGGTCAAGGTCTGTCCCGTGAAGGCCAGGGGAGAAGTGATGTCATACACAGAGTTCCCTACTCAACCCTGCACCGGTTGGATCTGCGGCCTTCTCCCTCTCTGGAGTTCTCATTCCTCTCCACAGATTGATGCAGGAGTACTGCAACTTGGTTCCAGAATCAGCATTCTTGCTGTCTGCAGCTCAACTCTACATACCTAGCAGCTTGCTTCTCTCCAGGCCCCTGCTCAGCACAGTACAACTCAGCCCTGTAATCCTGGCAGCAGGGTACTCCTCTCTGCAGCTCAGTCTGCAACACTCTTCTCTTTCTCTACACCCTGAATCTCCATTCATACATAGCGGTAGCGTTTTCTGTTTGTTTTTGCGCACTAAAAAAACCAGCGCGGAAACGAAACCGTGCAAACATTAACATACACGCGTATTACGCATGTCTATGGCTATTACTATAGCCGGAACGTTCAGAATCTGCCCATAAAATCACACTTGTGCTATTTTGCGGGACAAGCGGTTTTGTACCACGTGGCCGCCGCAATAGTCTGAACATTGCACATTGCAATGCATTTTTTAAAATGTTTAGCACAGTTCTGTGCGTATTCATACGGCCGAATACGCACGGAAAACCGCTCAAGTGTGAATGGAGCCTGATGCTCCCTGAGTTCCTGGCACACAACTGAGCTCACAGCAGCAGCCTGTCTGTCCTGGCTCAATGTTCCTTGTGACTTCTCTCTCATTGCTCAGCATAACACTGCTCAGCAGCCTTTTCACTCTTTCTCCTTGCACTACATGCTCACGTCTTCCTAGCCCAGGGCACTCACCACCCTAAACCTACCTGTCTATGGGTTAGGACTGAAGTCCAGCCATGGTGACAATCAACAGAAATCCAACATTTTGCAAGGCAAAAGTCCGGCCAGTGGGATCCAGCCCATCTCCTGGCAGCTGTCCATTAAGGTCAGAAA